ATATATATTAAAATGCATGGCTGATATGAGTCAAAAATATATAGATATTACTTCAAAATTTTAGATGTTTTCACTCAGTAGCTTCTTTTAAAAACATTACATCTTATTGTGTAATATGAGAGTGATGGGAATGAACATAGACTAACAATAGACATCTCTCTAGAAATTAAAGGAATTCTGTTTTTGTCTTATTGATTCCTCTTTCATTTTGATTTCTACTTGAGAAAATAAAGAGTATTTCACATCTCACCAATTATGCTAGCACTTACATAGTTAAAAAAAAGGGGGCACTGTAAATATCTCCATCAGTTGACCTTGACACTCCTTTATTTCCTTACTATCTATGCCTAGTAGATAAGTAAATAAGCATAGCAAGATTAAAGAATAAACCTTAAAATCTTACTATTTTATAAAGACTCAGATACAAGAGTTACTGACATTGTTTGTAAAACAAGTCTTCTACAATCTTAAATAAAGGTCAGTTTTTTACTTAGAAGTGATCTATATACCACTATTCCTACTAAATCATCATATTGTCAGAGGCCACTTTATGAAAATATCAGCAAAAACACAAAGCAAATATCAAAATCTGGAGCTTCTAAAGAGTTTCTAGATACTGTAAGAAGGAAAGAAAACAGCTAAGAGAATCCGGATATCTTGTTATGTCAGAACTGACCCTTCAGTAGGTTTTCAGAGGCAGCAATTGTACAAGAGGAAGAACTGTATAACAATGAAAGAATGTTTCTTTTACATTTCAAAGGGAAGAGTGAACTGAGGTGGGAGGGGTGGGAAGGGAGAAAAGTGCAACAGTGAATGAATGGAAATTAAAATAAAAAATAAAAAAAAAGAGGATGATGCTCCCCTCGCTGGTGTGTTTGAACTGCTTTTTGTCTCAGGGTAGGCAGCATTAGGCCTTACCACTAAGCTACCAGAGCTCCCTAAAACATCTTGCAATTTTGCCTTTTGGATGAATGGCTTTTGGGGTTTTGACTCAAATAACAAGTATTGTAGAAATGACACCTCCTTTCTTTTATTAATTTCCACTGGTATGAATAAAATCCTTTACTCAAATATTTTTTTTCTTGACTTCGAAAGAAGAGAGGAGAAAGGTGGGCGATTTTGAAAGTGTGAGCACTTCAGAATGGAGCAGAATCTGTAGAGAACCAGATCACACAGGGGTCCAGGCAGCAAAGAGGTCAACAGAAGGAATATGAAAGAATGCTCAAGACAGAAATTGGCATTTTCCTCAAGGTTCACCCGTGTCCATGAAAAAAAAAAAGTTACTCTACCATGGTTTGCCATTTCCTACTCATTTCTCAATTCGTCTTACCACTGCTAGCCAAGTAAGTAAAAATTATGTCAGGTGAATGAGAGAAGATACACCTTTGTATTTACAATATTTTATAGAGAAAAATTCATTAAATTTCATTTGAGATTTCTATATCTATATGGTTGAAGCAGAACTCAAGTCTTCACTGTCCTCTCTGATAAACAAAACAAGGTATAACATGAGACATGTAATATAACTCAACCAGAATCAACGCATCCACATCTTTAAGGAGTTCTGTGAAAGATGATGCACTAACTTCAGGAAATAAATAACTTTATTTCTTGAGAACAACTTCACTTCTTTTTAGCTCTGCTGTTGTTGCGTACCATTAAGTCAGAGGCAATATATTTCATAGGACTTAATTGCTCATCTTTTTCCCACCGAGCAGCTGGGAGATTCAAACCTAGTAGCCTCGCTTCAGCAATATCAAAATAGTGAGGATTTTGGCTTTCATTTATAACCAAAAGTGACATGTATTACTGTATTGGAACTTGACTGTAGTTTAATAGAATGGGTAAATTCCATTACATTTTTAGGTATAGTAATACATAACACATATATGTTTAAATATATCTATATTAAATGTATATTTGTATATTTAAATTATATTGTTTGTATACTGTCGATTTGGAACTGACCCATAGCTGACTCTGTGGTGGGTTTTCAGAGACAATGAATCACACAGGAGGAGACTGCCCATCCTTCTCCCATGGAGCATCCGGTGGATTCAAACTGTGTGCCTTCAAGACTATAGCACAGCTTCTTGCTACTAGGCCACCAGTGCTCCCTATTATATATAAAATTTAATGGAATGCGCAAATAAAATATATTTCTTTTACAAATTTATATATGTGGTTACATATATTTAAATTTATATTATGACATATAAATTTTAAAATTAATGGAACTTATACATTCTGTTAAACTGTTGTTGAGTGCCATCAAATCAAGTATGAATTATTGCAAAACTATGAACAACAGACCTGAATCCTTCAGATCTGAATCTACATCTATTTATGCCATTCTCATCATCGCTGGTGCACTTGAGCCCACTGCCACACAGTGACATAATCACCGTGTCAATCCATCTCGCTGAGGCTCTTCTTTTCTTTAGCTGAACCTCCATCTTCCCAAGCATGATGTCTTTCTCCAAGAAATAGCTCTCCTAGGAACACATACTAAGTATGTAAGATGAACCTTTATCATCTTTGCCTCCAAGGAGCACACTGACTACACTTTCTCCAAAATACTGTTTGTCCTTTTGGAAGTCCATGGGATATTCAGTATCTTTCTCCAACAAAGCTCAAAAGGCATAAATTATTCTTCTGTCATCTTTATTCATTGTTCAGCTCTAAGATGCATAGCAAGTGATTGAAAAGGTCACCTGAATCAGGGACACATTAGTCCTCAAGCTGACATCATTAATCCTCAATTATTTGGGGATGTCCCTGACTGCAGACCTTCCAGTCCAATATGTTTTCTGATCTCCTGACTATTGGAATCAAGGGTGTTGATTGTGGACCCAAGTAATATGAAGCTGTTCAATCTTTTCTCCACCTATCATGATGTTGCTTATCAATCCACTGGTAAGAATATTTGTCTACCTGATGTTGATATGCAATTCATATTAAAGGTTGTAATCTTCTATCTTCTGCAGCAAGAGTTTCAGGTCCTCACTCTCAGCAAGCAAGATTATGTCATTTGCATAATGCAGGTTGTTGGTAAGTTCTTCCTCTGATCCTGATGCCCCATTGTTCTTCATAGAGGCAGCTTCTCAAATGATTTGCTCGGCATACTGAATGAATAGGTAAGGTTTACATAAGAATAGGGGTTTTCTTTTATACCGTGTGGTGTTCCCTTGTTCTGTTTGTACAATAGCCTCTTGTTCCAGGTATAGGTTGCACACGAGCACAATTAAGTGTTCTAGGATTTGGGTACTATTCAGTGTTAGTGATAATTTGTTATAGTCCACACAGTCAAATGCCTTTGCATAGTTACTACAACACAAACAGACCTTCTTCTGGTACTCTCTGCTTTCAGCCAGAATCTACACGACATCAACAATGATATCCCTAGTGTCAAGGCCTCTTCTAAACCCAATTGAACTTCTAGCAGCTCTCTATCAACTTACTTTCTGGCTGGTTTTGGATAATTATCAGCAATATTTTGCTTCCATATGATATTAATTATATTGTTCTATAATTTCCACATTCAATAGGATCACACTTTTTGGGAATGAGAACAAATACAGATCTCTTCCTGTCTGCCCATGAAGTAGCTGTCTTCCAAATTTTCTGGCATAATGTGGTGAGCACATCCTGGGCTGTATCTGTTAGTATTAAATTGTACTGAAGCTATAATGTCTTTCTCCAAGGAATAGCTCCTCCTAAAAATATGTCCAAATTATGTGAGACAAAGCTTCATCATTCTTGCCTGTAAGGAACACTCTGGCTGCACTTTCTCCAAAGCATATTCATTTGTTCTTTTGGCAGTCCATGAAACACTTAGCCCTCTTCTCCAACATCTCAACCAACACCTCTAAAACATCGATCCTTCTGTGGCCATCCTTATTCATTGTCTGGCTCTCAGGTGCATAGTAGATGATTTAAAAGATCATGGCTTGAATTAGGAGCAACTTTGTCTTTAAACTGACATTGCTCTTCAATGCTTTGGAGAGATCCCTGACAGTAGATTTTCCCAGTGCAATACAACTTTTGACTTCTTGACTGCTGATACCAATGGTCTTGATTGTGGATCCAAGCAAGATTAAATAATTGAAAATGTCAGTTTTCTCTCTGTCTATCATAGTTCTGCCTATTAGCCCAGTGGTGAGAATCTTTGTTTTCTTGATGCTGAGAAGTAATTCATATTGCAGGCTTTAGTCTCCAATCTTCTGCAATAAGTTCTTTAAGTCCTACTCACGTACACAAAGTAGTATCATCAACATAATGAATATTCTTGGTGAACCTTCTTCCAATCTTAATACCATATCTTTCTTCATAAAGTTTAGCTTCTTGAATGATTTGTTCAGCATACAGATAGTAAAAGTGTGGAAAAAGGATATAGTCCTGACACACACCTTTCTTAATGATAAACTGGTTACTTGTTCCCTTGTTCTATTTGAGTAACAGCTTCTTGATTTTATATAAGCATGATTAAGTGTTCTAGAATTGCCATTCTCTCAATGTTAGCCACAGTTTACCGTTAACTACCTTTGCATAGTCAATGAAAGACAAACAGACATTCTTCTGGTATTCTCTTTCATCCAGAATCCATCTGACATATGCAAGGATATCTCTGATTTCATTGATATACAATATAGCGTTGGTAGATCACTGATATATAAGATTTCTAGGAAGTATTAAAATTTTTTCCTAAATCTAAACTTTCACTTATGTGGTTTGCTTTTATCTCACAATTTTTTTAATAAATTGGATTATTTTTTTTTGTTAGAAAATTACTTAGATGTTTGTGGGTAAACACAATTGTTTGGTACGTTTTTCTTGGTATTTGCAACTATTATGATTTTTCTCATATTAATTATTACAACCATCATGAGGCGGGCTCTGATAAAGGGGCTGCACTGTCAACACAAAGGCACATGGTTTGAATTCACCAGCTGCTCAGCAGGAGAACGATGGTCAGTCTCTTCCTCTGCAAATAATTGTCTCTGAAAACTCACGGGAGGGTCAGCTTTAAGTTTATCCTGACTCAACGGTACATAGCAACAACTATTAGAAAGGAAATAACCACAACTTTTCCATGTGAAATAATTGCTAACTTCTTTATTTTTACCATAAAGTAGGTAGGAACTCCATAAGATAGAACAAATATAATAAAATATTTTTCCTGAATAATCTTCATCTGACGAAAGTGTTTAAAACTTTGAATTTTTAAATAAAATAAGCTCAATCAGATGTATCGAAATTTGGTTCACCTATCTATATGATAAATTATGTAAAAGAAACTACATTTCTAATGGGAATTTCTATTATTTATTTTCCATTATTTATGCCTAACAGCTGAGTAAGTCACTATTTAAGGTTAAAGTGCAGAATTAGCTCATGACTTTGAAAAACTTATCTTTGTTTATACAAAACTAAACGGAACTTGTTGACCTTCAATCAATTCTTACTCATTGTGACCTTATAAAGGGCAGAAAAGAGCTGCCCCTGAAGTTCTGAGGGCAATAATCTTTCATGGAAACAGACTGGCATGATCCATATTAATCCCACAAAGTGACTGGTGGGCTCAGTCTGCTGACATTTTTTTGCAAGGAGTCAAGTGTTCAGCAACTGTGCCACTAAGTCTCCTCTCACAAACTGTCTAGACCAGAACTTTTGACATTTTTATCAACTTGGATTTTATAAGTAAATAGGAATATACAAAAGTTACATGTTCACTCAAGTGGCATGTTAAGTAACACAAGTTTCAAGTAGTTCCATGATCATTTCTTTTTCAGTTTAAATTGCCCTGCATAAGGGATCAGCTAAGCATCATGCATTTCCTAATGTTTGCATAACCAGTCATCCATTTAAAAAAAACCAGTTATAGCTTGGAAGTCCACATGCAAGGCAGACGTGAAGTAACACCTCATAAGCAGTTCCTTACTTCACCTCTGCCTTGCATGTGGACTTCCAAGCTGTAAAACAACCAGTTGTAGATGGAATTTGGTCCAGGACTTAAGAACAATGAATGACGTAGTTGAGCCTCTACATCTTGTGGTTTCTAACCTTTATACTATAATAGACAAAGTGCTAGTATAGGCCTTTTCTTGTAAGAACTACCTTCCATCTGTAACTTGATTTGTGCCACTGTAAGAACCTCTACTTGGAATATTATTGCTTTTCATTTTTGACTCATGTACTTTTAACTTGTTAGTTAAATTTGTGTCTTCTAGGCTGCAACAGTTCCATGATACATCTTCAAGGATATGAACATGTATGGCTAAGCACAAGTGATAACAGTGCATCTAAATTTCAAAATCAATCTCCACAATAGTCTATGTGTTTCCTATTGCCAAAGAGGCCCTTTAGAGTAGTGAGAGAAGACCTTCACCCTGAAACCTACAGCGTCCCTTTTTAGCAGGAAGTAGCTAAGAGAATACTCTATTACCCTTTTCCTTATGAATCAAGGTGAAGTCTCTCTCATGGAGGAGTGATAGGGAATGGCAAAGGATATACTGACAAAGGAGATTACTCAGAACTGCCTTTGACAAGCACTGTGGCAATGGGACAATTAAAATGGACTTTCAGGGGAGAAAAAAAGAGGAACGAACTATAGTGCAACAATGAATGAAAGGAAATCCAAAATCTCTGTAAATGTTCATTAAAATTAATAAAATTTAATAAAAATAAAAAAGAAGAAAAATAAACAAAAAACACCAATTAAGACATTCATACCTTAAGAACACAGTTTCTATTGCCATGCCTCCTCACTCACCATTGATGGGTAAGTCCTTCTTTTAATTATTTTAATCACATCTTTTTAACTCAAGGACATGTAACAGAGCTCACGTGAAGAAATTAAACCTTTGATCGACTGACTGATGAAGGAAGAAATTTCTAGCTGTTTAAATATAATGAGCAAGGCAGCAAATAGACTAAATGTCAACGATCATTTTACAGCTCTCCTCAAAAACAAACTCTTCAGCAGAAGGAGGTCTTTACCTCTTTTTGGATATCTAGCCAAAAATACTTTCTTGTCACATAACCAGAATCTTCAAAATACATTTTTAGTAAGCAATTTGACTGCACCATAGTATCGATGGATCTAACCGCTCACACATGAGAAATGGTCAAATTCTCATCTTTCTACCTTTCTCTTCTTTGTACCCAGTTAATTTCAGAGGGAAATATTATCAGGATGCAGGGAAGAGAAAGCCTAGGACAGTGGTGAAAAGCTGAGTAACTCCGTTTTAGAATATTTAGAAAGGCCAGTGTAACATAAATAGCCATCATATAATAATATTAGAAACCCTGTAGAAAATATTTAAGAGACCAAATGATATTAAATGGCACTTGATGGATTAGTTTAGTCTTCAGTTAAACTGATCTAGATAAGAATTAGAATATCCATGGGACTACTTAATTGCATTAGAAAATGGGGGGGGGATGAAAACAGAGTATAATGATAGAGCAAGCTTTGTAGAAAAGGCAGATGAATGGAATGCAAAAGCAGCCATTTGAACAAATATAAAACATTATCCAATAGTAATTTTCCTGGTCATTATCTGAATAAAATCCATTATGGTAAAATTACAATTCCTTTTTCTTACCTACCAATAGAAACTATGTAAAAATGTATAGTTAAAACTGTCAACTTACTTAAATGCCATTTTATTTATTAAAGACTAACTATATGCAAAATTTCAAATTAAAGTATCCTAAAATGAAAAACAGATATTCACACAGAAATCATTTTGGAACATTACCTTTTTTTCTTCCTCTTTTCTTTGCGTTTCAGCTTCTCCAAATCTTTTTTGGCTAGATCTATAACTTCAATAGTCTCTTTGTCTGAGGACAATAGAGGAGAGAACGCTGATGATCCGCTGAAATACGGCGACCTTGCTGTGGCCCTTGTCAGGTTTTTGCGGAGGTTTTCATTTACCGCTTCACTTTCTAATAATTTCGCCCTTTAGAATAAAACAATATTTAAGTTTATTATTTAAGATAACATTTGCAATTTATTGTGCTGCATGGGGAAAAAAACGTTCAAAAATGTATGTATTTCCTCTAAAAACCCTCTGGAGGGTAAGCGATGGGTCAGTTATTGCAAACTCGATGGTACTCAATAACAAGGTAGTTTTTTTGGGGGGTTTGCTTCTTCACATTTTTTTTTCAATCAGAAATGTTAATATTTGGGATTTTTTAAATTACCTGGTTAATTGTTTATAAACTTAAAATCACCTTCTTAGCATCAAAAGAATTCTGTATCTTCCTCCTATATCTGCCAGTGACAATTAGATCACTTGAATGCTAGTCAATGGGCACCGCCAATATTCCTTGATTTCTAAATTCATCATTTACGCCTAACACATACAAGCATCATGATCTCTAATCTTTTCAAGTTATTATTCACTATGCAAGAATAGCATTTCTAAAACATAGCAAGGACCATTTAGTTTGACTGGCAGACAGACACCTTGTTCCTGAATGTGGTGTGAGAAAAGAGGATGTCTCCATGGTAACCAGTATTTGATAATTGAAAGCATTCTTTTGTTTGTTCAAGCAACTATAATAATGACAGGAGAATAATGCATGTACTCTCAGCAGTATGAGAAAACACAGAATGGTAAGTTCCTAAAAAAACCTCGACTCCTGTGAGGAAAGGAGACAGAGAGAGTTCTGTAGCCTAGTTCCTTTACTTCTGTTTAAACCACCAAGAACACAATACAAGGGGTTTCTAAAGTCAATATAAACAATAGTGAGACAGGGATAAAAGAAGAACATACTAACTGCTATTATGTCTTAATATTACATCACTAAGCACTTTGCCTTATGTTAAAACATTTCAGAGGAAGATTCTAGAATATTTGCAACTACTGAGCTTTGAAAGGCATAGTCAGCTAGTGTATTTTATTGTTTATCAAAAATACTAATAAAGCTGCTGAAACCAGCTAGAGACTATGTATGTGGGTGGGTGGGTGGGTGTCAGTGAACATATATTTCAGGTACATATCAAAAACACTAATGAAATTTTTTATTGTATTATTGTTGTTGTTGCTGTTATGTGCCGTCGAGT